TTTGTTTGACATTTGATATGGCATATAATTTGACATTTGATATGGCATATAATTTGACATTCGTTTGACATTCGATATGGCATATAATTTGACATTTGTTTGACATTTGATATGGCATATAATTTGACATTTGTTTGACATTTGATATGGCATATAATTTGACATTTGATATGGCACGACATATCATGGCATAAGTAACACGGCATTGCATGAACTGGCAAGACATGACATGACATCAAGTGATACGACACGACATGTTGGTATGGTGTGCACATGGCATCACTTGACATGACGTGAGATGAAGCGACACTAAATGGTGTGGCACAACATGACATTACACAACATAAAATAACATCAAAAGACACGACATGGCATGACTTGACATGACTTGACACGACCGTACGGTTTATTTCACTACGGTTTGTTACTGGTTTCTAACAATATTTGACTAAATTAGCAAGAATCGATAATATGATCACAAAACCTGTAAATGAAAACAAATGTAAAAATATAACAATAAACATATGTTAAAATGCATATCGATAAACATAATAAATGAACACGTTATCATTACAGGCGGACTTTCTGTAAACAGTCAGTTATGTGACTGCCCCAGGCCCTGTTTCGACCACTTCTACGCGAGTACCCTGTCATCGGCCTACTGGCCTTCAGATTATCTAATAACACAAATAGAAAAAGAAAGTGGTATGCCCGTTGGTGTCATGAGGTAGGCACTGCATGTTTAATTCCTGTAATGTGATGTTGTATTCCAGAAAACGTGTCGCTTGAAGAGAATGCATGCAATTGTCCTGTCTCGTGTCACCAGTCCATTTATGAGGCCAAAGTTTCGTCCACATACTGGCCAGCTGCGCATATATTGAAAGAAGTGGGCGAGATTTTCAACCTTTCAGACCCCGAAGGCTTTGTCAGGTAAGAAAACCCAGAAGATAACATAGCTGATGATTGTATAAGTTATAAATCTTAACAGCTATACTAGCTCTGCTGTTCTTGTATCGGTTGCTAGTTTTTTGCGATGGTATTTTAGTCAATTCCGATGCACTTGGTGTCCTTAAAGTTGTTATTTTAAAATATTACTCAGAGCGTGTTAATGCTTATATAGATTTTGCAAACACAAAAGTGCCACGTAAAAAAATGCCTCCGCCAGAGTAACGTACTGTCACCCGAAACATATTCAACATCAATTATTTTTGAGAGTTCAACAAACATTCATCGGTTGGTGAAATTGTGTTTTTATAGACTTTTATTTCTGAAACATTTTGCGTCGCATGTTTGTGTGTTTGTCTTACTCTTCCGTGTCGATAAAACCGCATACTTAAAAAATAACAACTTTAAGGCACCGAATGTAACAGAAATGACTCAATACTATCATAAAGCCTAAAGATCGACTTAAGAGGAGCTATAGATCCACAGCTACAGCTAAACCGGGTTGAACTAAGCAACACGAATATCATTGAGTAGTGTATAGCATGCTGGCATTGATATTGCCTTGTTTCAATAATGTAAGATTTTTGTAATGTTCAATATGTTAATAAAACGTAGCGTATATATGTAAAAGACGCTAGTGTACGCTCGATTCATACTACTTTACGTTTAGGTAAAGCCGATGACGTGCACAGTTGCGTCTCGCTGCAAACACAGACAGTGCTTTAGATGTCACCTGAATCATTACCACTTTCACCAGTGCCACACAGTAATTTTCATATCAAATTTGAAAATCATTTATTCATTCTTGTATATGAACTTCAAACAATTGCTATCATCGCATTTCTTTATCACCAGAACCTCATGATTCCGAGAGACCAATGCAAACATTTTTGATCTGACACAATATACTCAGATTTACGAAAACTAGAGATTTCTTTTGCCAAACTCCATGCATGTAAACATTGAGATATTTCCAATGTGAAAAAATTAGGTCGACGAATTTTCGACCAAAAGACAGTTTTAAAACATGCTTCACCTTTGCATGATGCTATATTTGACAACATCTCCCTAAACAAAAAGGAGATATACGCATATATTTTTATTCGAAGCTAATGTATGGAATCACCACATTTTTATGCAAATATTTGAAAAATATGCAAATTATGACGTGGCAGTGATGAAAGTGTGAACGAGTGGAGCGGAAGTTACAGAGCCTTTGGGGTGTATTTGCGTTTTGTCATTACGTGATCGAATGAATGATGTTGGTAATATGCAAAACAACAACAACACAAATAGTAATGCCAAAATGACTGTAATGTTATTTGCTTATACCATGTTACTATGTTCAGCGTGACATGACGGTAGGTAAGTTCATTCCATTGACCTCAAGAAAAAAAGATTTAGTGGTACAGTCAAATAGAAACCTCATCCGCATTACTTGTACAACATGTAAATGTCTTGGTCTATGCCTGTGGCAAATGGCAATATAACATGTATGAACACGAAGATCATTCAACCTGAACATACTGATAGTTTTAATTGTAAACTTATCAAATCAATGAATTGAGAGCGGCTGTACGCATCAATATACGCGGTTGAGGCTCGTCGGGCTAGTTGTTAATATTCAAATTTATCGCTGAAACATTTTGTATTAAATAAAGAAAGTCCAGTTTTACATCATTGAAAACAAACTATAACAAACTGTTTTCGATTCGGTTTGAAGTCCAACCACCAAACATGTCCAGATTGTTGTTACTTCTTTGAAACTATTTTACATTGAATGAATATGCAATTGGGCAAATCGCCCATCTACACTGTGATGCTGTAATAAGGAATTAAGAATTTCACTCTTACCTTTGGTACTTGAGTATTTTTGTCGCAAGAGATGTGTGATCTCAAGGCACAAACATGTGAGAATCTCATCATCCGATTAAATATTCAGCCACCAATCAATACTTGTTTTTTACTTTGCTGCATAGCATTCATTTGTCAATATTCTACGACAAATTACCAGGGTGTTCTGTGTCAATTTAAATGTCTTCGTTATTGAGGTGGCGGGTCGCTTATCAATGAGTTTGGCTACTATGGTAGCTATGATGAAACAGGTTCACAGAGCACCAGATAAAGTTCACCGTTCTTGTACCCGATCGACAAAGAAACTTGAGCAGCTACAGTCTGATGACCGGACAAATGTTTTGGTCATCGCTATTCACAAGTACAAGTACCTCACTCATCTTCATGTTTAATAATTCACTGCACCAATGAGCATACATTAACTTCGCAAATTAACATAATAATTAAAATAAAAACGTACAGGTTTAAATGTTACATAATAAGGCTTTTGATCTGTGGCGGCATGATTTAATTTCTTTTGTTCAATGTGGAGTGGTGAGGTCTAAAAATTATGATATTTTTTTTTCAAACATAGAATACATCGTTTGCTGGAGCTACTGTACGGGCTACCGCAAGCAAGAATTTTCCATGTTATTCTGTGCTCAATATTTTTTTCTTTGAGTGACCAAACATGTTTACTTAGTTTTGTCGCATTTCTAAAGGCCTGATTACAAAATGAGGCCGTGTGGTTTCTTTCCTTGTTTTGAATTCATTTCTAGTAAGTCAGACGTATATTTCGCTAGTTTGTTTGTCTTGGTATATGACGCCAGACAGCAAGCACTTCCTGTCCAGTGGACATGCCGTTTTCTTCTGCGCGGACATACTGGAAATTAATTCAAAACAAGGTACAGAAACTTAGATAATATGTTAAATACTGACATAATTTATTACATTTGTATATTTCAGAAAGAACTATCTTGATGTTTGGTTTTATTTCCAGGAGCTCAGTTTTGAGGAAATAATTCAAGAAGAGGCATACTCAGCGTCAACCTTACAAAGTAAGATCTTGCACTCTTTAATTCAGTACAATTGCAGAGTTGGTTGATACCCTCGACCATAATCCGTGACGTCATTCGTATAATGGTTGCAAAGTTCACATAATTAGCATATTTACATGTGTCATGGAAACAGTAGATGCAATGACGCTAGACAGGAGAAACGTCTTCAGATTGTCAAAAAGCAACTCGCGGCTCTCTCGTTTTTAATGAGACTTTGGCGGCCATTTGCGAATAAGGTATACCGCATTACGTGAATAGTTACTCGCTCTGATATTACAATAACTTACATTTACATTATATACACAATACTGATATTTTTTCTAGGTGACATTGGTGGATTTCTTGGTCTTTTTCTTGGAGCTAGTCTTGTCACAGTTGGCGAATTCATGGATTTCTTGTGGATATTTTGTATGAAGAAATACAATATATCTCGAGGCAAAACCTAACAGATGTCACCAATATATTTTTCAGGATTTAAATTTGTAACACATTACAACTTCTCTTATTAAACAAACTCAAACCAATGTGAGCATTTAATACAACATTTACACTGGTATAAATCCAGCCAAGCATTAACAATATATACATATATATATATATATATATATATATATATATATATATACACTGGGTAAACAACTATACACTCCAGTTACTAAATTCTGAATACATACTTTTATACAAGTTGTTCTCAAATGTAATACTTTATGGAAAACATGTACATATATATTATGGTAATCCCACATTTGCATAATTTTCTATATTAGCTGAGATGTGTAAATTTTAACTGTTCTCACAGTGGGATATTTAATAGCAATCAATATTATTCACGTGCACTGCGTAGTATTAAATAAATAAAGCGTTTAGTCATGCCTGTTATTTGGTTGCAATGGTGTGCGTCATTATTGACATTATCGAGCAAGTGAATAGACGGCATGTTTCACATACATTATTGCCAAGCTTTGTAAATCATAGAACCAGTCATTATTTTATAATAGTATATTAAAAATGATCGCATTTAACTAGTAGTATACATATTAATAGCACTATAGTTTTTTTTATATATATTGCTGTGGGAAAAATGACAAAATAAGTGACAAAAACAATTAAAACCACATATAACAAGAACTTTACTATTTTCCTATAGTGTTAAGTATATTTTGGCGGTCATTTCTGCTTATAAAATAGCACATAGCTATCCTATCAACATTGTAGGTACATCACAATAGCACATAGCTATCCTATCAACATTGTAGGTACGTCACAATAGCACATAGCTATCCTATCAACATTGTAGGTACGTCACAATAGCACAAAGCTATCCTATCAAACATTGTAGGTACGTCACAAATATTGTGTGAGAAGTGCGTTCATGTAAATAATAGATTTCAAACGTACGTACGATTTATATTACTAGTATCATCAATACTGAGTAAATCAGGCGTGCTTCTATTTGATACTTGTTGATATTTGGCTTCTTAACATACAAAAACACTGCTATGGCGATAAGAAAGCTATTACATTACGATATTATTGAGGAACGGTATTTCAATTGATAAACTTGTGTACGAGATACTATAATTATAATTAACAGATAATGTTGGATATGTATAATACAGATACGTTGCAATTAGAAATAATATTTGTACATCGACTTCCCATAGATGTAAAATTAGGCTTCTGCGTTCTGCTCTTATGCGGACTCATCGTTGAGGTTTGTCGCCGTTTTCTCGGAGAATTCAAGGTCGTAGGAAGCAAAGATTAGTTGGTCCGGCCATCCATCGAGGGCCGTAGGCCCGAGGCGTATCCTGACGTGGGCCGAAGTTGTGTTCTATAGGAATACTTGTAACCGGGAAATAATCATTTAACAACACGACTGCATCGGTAGGTTGGTCTGACGTAGTCGCCGCATCGTGTATAGCGTTGATAACTTGAATTTCGTCCTTGATTTGTTAATGTCGTATACCGACGTATGTATAGTGCTTCTATTTATTTCATAAAGATAATTTTATTACTCGTTATGTATCATACATACATTTGGGTTTAATTAAATAGTTCATTTAACCAAATGTGTTGTTATATTGCGTTTTAATTTGGTCCACGAGGTTTCAGTGTAGTGTACTGTTTTTGTGTGCGAGCATGTCATGTGTAAATAGTCGTTAACGACTAGTCGATACCTACAACAATCTTAAATGTGACAGAACTTGTGTAAGGTATTGTGGAGTATAAATACGAAGCATGTGATAAAATAGCTACTAATCTGGATGTCCTTATTGAAAACTTGGACGGGAGAGATCTTACAATGTGACCTTTTACAAACTGTTTTTCGGTATAATATACAAATATATACCTTTGTCTACCTGCTGACATATTCGCAAGTTTTCCTCCATCCGGGTACCTTCTACCCGAATTTTCCTGATTTGTCAAGGGGAAACGATATGCGGTAATATTTGCCTTCACTATTGGTCTATCTCAGGGAAAACTAGGATTTTGTAGCGATTTCGCGTGATTTTTAGTCGCGCTTGCCGTGAGTTTCGCCATTGCGCTCAGCTACTAGTACGCGCTCTGAGGCATTCGACCTGAGAGTCCTGGACTTTGATTTTGTTACGTGTTTTGACAGTATATTGGCATATTATGTACAGTGTATTTGTTGAAAGAGAATGGTGTTGACATAAGCCTATACTCAAGCAGTGTGCAGCTCCTGTGTGCAGCTCGTTTCAGTGTCCTAAATGCGAACCGGGATGCCGCGCGGCGTATAATTGCGCACAGAGTGGCGCCGGATGTGTTTTTACTATGAAGGTAAAAAAGGCCATGATGAAACTCAATAAAATGCAATCACTTTTCACATGCATTCAGCTACACGAGGGGACCGGGAGATTGTTGTAATTGAGTGCCACAATATCAGTTTTAGGATTTATTCGGTATGAATAATTCAAATGTTCACCCTAGCACCTCCGTTGGGTGAACAATTGTATAATATCGCACTCTCTAGTAACAAGGCAGTGTCACTCAAATCAACAACTAGGTTTAGTTGTGTAGTCGTTCGTAGTCTATAATATAGTCAACTTTCTCAAAGACATAATCATTATTGGTGTACTATTATAACGACGCTTTGAACGGCTTTCGATTACGCCCGGCGTTCACGTCACGAAAGCGCTATGTCATCAGAGAGCGTGATGTATAAGGTGTGTAGAGAGTACTACGATATGAATAATAATTTGAGAAGCCACTGTTTATAATTATATTCATTGTATTTGTCGGGTCGGTCATATAATTTAAATATAACATTATAATATACAAAAAACGAGGTTCGTTTGCTTGAATAATGGGTCTGTTAAATAGTAAAGTAAAGGCAGAGTCTTACCTTTATTAAGCTGTCTCTTGGTGAGATGATACACACGTCGAGAATGGATATCTAAACGAAACTAGCGAAGGAACGGTAGCTGAAGCTTGCGTTATTTCTCTAGGTTCCGATCAGACTACCGAAGTTCCCGGATGTTGGAGAATGGGAACTTCGGTACCATTCGGGATCCTTCGGCGATACGTAAATCACATAGGCCATTTATACTACACTCTCCTCCGTCATCTTTTTCGGTGATGGTTCCATTATCCTATAATTTTCTTTTCCAGTATCACGCCCATGTGATTTAGGCCAGTATCGCCTAGGTGTCAAGTCAGTAACTCAGATGGTTATCAAATGCATTGTTACATGATATGGACTAACTAACAAAACGCAACTCAACATCCATCATGTTCCAATACATCCAAAATCCATCTGATCAGTTAGTCCGTCAGTCTATTTACCCCATATAGATGGGGATGTGCGTAGTGCAATCAGTCATTCACTCAGTCAGTCAGTCAGTCAGTCAGTCAGGAATTGTAAGCCACCCATAATGATGGGTAGACTGAGTCTTGTCAATGACTCCCAAATAAATGAACAGTCCAGTCTAGTCAATCTGTTGTAAGTCACCCATAATAATGGGTAAACTAAGTCTAGTCAGTCAGTTAAAAATTACCCACCACAGTGGGTACACCTTCCACCCAAATTGATGGGTTCTCCTGTGGTACTTCTACTCAGCTGGAGGTTGTTCTTCAGGGAACAAGTTCTTAAAATGCTCCCTCTGACTTGGCGTCAGCCGTCTCATAAGGACCATGATAACTCTCCAGTGGATCAGCACCGCAGGGCTGCTCGGTGGGCGAAATGTATATCTAGGTGGGATCAGCCAACCATACTCTCTACAGATGTTGTTCATCTTCCGCTCATACGTGGGGGTCACATTCCAGTTGTCGGCAAATTCTCTATGGAAGTAATTCACCACCCAGATATATATCTTCTTCGTCCCTCCTTTTTAGATCTCCCAATTTGTTGGGACTCTGTACTCTTCACTGGCTCCACCCTGGATTTCTTCCAGCTGGGCTCAGAGGTAGAGGGACTCCCGATTGCCCGGAATATCCCTCTCTCTTTCGGTCGAACATCCTTCATTTTTTTATCCTGCTGTGTCACCCTGCTCGCAGCGCCAGTAAAGTAAAGGCAGAGTCTTACCTTTATTAAGCTGTCTCTTGGTGAGATGATACACACGTCGAGAATGGATATCTAAACGAAACTAGCGAAGGAACGGTAGCTGAAGCTTGCGTTATTTCTCTAGGTTCCGATCAGACTACCGAAGTTCCTGGATGTTGGAGAATGGGAACTTCGGTACCTGTCGGGATCCTTCGGCGATACGTAAATCACATAGGCCATTTATACTACAGGACTATACACCATATTAGTTTTTGGTAAATAGTTATGCTTCTTAATCACCTAATTAACATAATTAATTAATAATGGTATCTCAAGTACTGATCATCACATTTGATCATCACAGGTTAAAATCTGTTCATATTAATTCTCTAATTAGCATAATAATTAATAATTTTTTGGTTCTAATCACTTTTCAATGAAACTTGGTACATACCGCAGATCTTATTACTTTTACATTGTGTAGAATTTATTAGTTTTACGGTATACTTAAATCTGTTCATATTAGTTACCTTATTTGCATAAGCTTTTCCATCAATATCTCAAGTTCAAGTAATTTTGAATTAATTTTTAAGGTGTCTCCATTCTTTGATATTGATTTCAATTTGTTGTCTTAAAAGCTTATTTTTAATTAGAAGTTTGTAGTTGATAAATAATTTTGCATAAATCACATCTCAATTAAACAATGTAAGTAAATTCATATAAACAGTGTACTATATTTGCTCCACTAGAAGTGCATATAAACACATATGTACAGAGTCATTAATATATTACTTATTGTAAAGTATGTGATGTTTTACAGTTAAATAGTGTTAGAAACATTGTACATAAATCGTGCATCAACAGAAGTGAGCAACAAATTACTGTACAAACTAACAATGTTGGAAATCTTCAAATATTTTATATTTGTGTTGTTATCACATGACT